CACCTTCATCACCTTCATCACCTCAGCCTCTCATCACCTTCATCACCTCAGCCTCACATCACCTTCATCACCTCAGCCTCTCATCACCTTCATCACCTCAGCCTCTCATCACCTTCATCACATCACCTTCATCACCTTCATCACCTCAGCCTCTCATCACCTTCATCACCTCAGCCTCTCATCACCTTCATCACCTCATCCTCACATCACCTTCATCACCTCAGCCTCACATCAGCTTCATCACCTTCATCACCTCAGTCTCTCATCACCTTCATCACCTCATCCTCACATCACCTTAATCACCTCAGCCTCTCATCACCTTCATCACCTCATCCTCACATCACCTTCATCACTTTCATCACCGCAGCCTCTCATCACCTCATCCTCCAATCACCTTCATCACCTTCATCACCTCAGCCTCACATCACCTTCATCACCTTCATCACCTCAGCCTCACATCAGCTTCATCACCTTCATCACCTCAGCCTCACATCAGCTTCATCACCTTCATCACCTCAGCCTCTCATCACCTTCATCACCTCATCCTCACATCACCTTCATCACCTCAGCCTCTCATCACCTGCATCACCTCATCCTCACATCACCTTCATCACCTTCATCACCTCAGCCTCACATCACCTTCATCACCTCAGCCTCTCATCACCTGCATCACCTCATCCTCACATCACCTTCATCACCTCAGCCTCACATCACCTTCATCACCTCAGCCTCACATCACCTTCATCACCTCATCCTCACATCACCTTCATCACCTTCATCACATCAGCTTCATCACCTCATCCTCACATCACCTTCATCAGCTTCATCACCTTCATCACCTCAGCCTCTCATCACCTTCATCACCTCAGCCTCACATCACCTTCATCACCTCAGCCTCTCATCACCTTCATACACATCATCCTCACATCACCTTCATCACCTTCATCACCTCAGCCTCTCATCACCTCATCCCTCACATCACCTTCATCACCTTCATCACCTCAGCCTCACATCACCTTCATCACCTTCATCACCTCAGCCTCACATCAGCTTCATCACCTCAGCCTCACATCAGCTTCATCACCTTCATCACCTCAGCCTCTCATCACCTTCATCACCTCATCCTCACATCACCTTCATCACCTTCATCACCTCATCCTCAAATCACCTTCATCACCTCAGCCTCTCATTACCTTCATCACCTCATCCTCACATCACCTTCATCACCTCAGCCTCTCATCACCTTCATCACCTCATCCTCACATCACCTTCATCACCTTCATCACCTCAGTCTCACATCACCTTCATCACCTCAGCCTCACATCACCTTCATCACCTCATCCTCACATCACCTTCATCACATCAGCTTCATCACCTCATCCTCACATCACCTTCATCAGCTTCGTCACCTTCATCACCTCAGCCTCTCATCACCTTCATCACCTCAGCCTCACATCACCTTCATCACCTCAGCCTCTCATCACCTTCATCACCTCAGCCTCTCATCACCTTCATCACCTTCATCACCTCAGCCTCTCATCACCTACATCACCTCAGCCTCTCATCACCTTCATCACCTCATCCTCACATCACCTTCATCACCTCAGCCTCTCATCACCTTCATCACCTCATCCTCACATCACCTTCATCACCTCAGCCTCACATGAGCTTCATCACCTTCATCACCTCAGCCTCACATCAGCTTCATCACCTTCATCACCTCAGCCTCTCATCACCTTCATCACCTCAGCCTCACATCACCTTCATCACCTCATCCTCACATCACCTTCATCACCTTCATCACATCAGCTTCATCACCTCATCCTCACATCACCTTCATCAGCTTCATCACCTCAGCCTCTCATCACCTTCATAACCTCAGCCTCACATCACATTCATCACCTTCATCACCTCAGCCTCTCATCACCTTCATCACCTTCATCACCTCAGCCTCTCATCACCTTCATCACCTCAGCCTCTCATCACCTTCATCACCTCATCCTCACATCACCTTCATCACCTCATCCTCAAATCACCTTCATCACCTCAGCCTCTCATTACCTTCATCATCACCTCATCCTCACATCACCTTCATCACCTCAGCCTCTCATCACCTTCATCACCTCATCCTCACATCACCTTCATCACCTTCATCACCTCAGTCTCACATCACCTTCATCACCTCAGCCTCACATCACCTTCATCACCTCATCCTCACATCACCTTCATCACATCAGCTTCATCACCTCATCCTCACATCACCTTCATCAGCTTCGTCACCTTCATCACCTCAGCCTCTCATCACCTTCATCACCTCAGCCTCACATCACCTTCATCACCTCAGCCTCTCATCACCTTCATCACCTCAGCCTCTCATCACCTTCATCACCTTCATCACCTCAGCCTCTCATCACCTACATCACCTCAGCCTCTCATCACCTTCATCACCTCATCCTCACATCACCTTCATCACCTCAGCCTCTCATCACCTTCATCACCCTCATCCTCACATCACCTTCATCACCTCAGCCTCACATGAGCTTCATCACCTTCATCACCTCAGCTCACTCACATCACCTTCATCACCTCAGCCTCTCATCACCTTCATCACCTCAGCCTCACATCACCTTCATCACCTCATCCTCACATCACCTTCATCACCTTCATCACATCAGCTTCATCACCTCAGCCTCTCATCACCTTCATCACCTCATCCTCACATCACATTCATCACCTTCATCACCTCAGCCTCTCATCACCTTCATCACCTTCATCACCTCAGCCTCTCATCACCTTCATCACCTCAGCCTCTCATCACCTTCATCACCTCATCCTCACATCACCTTCATCACCTCATCACCTTCATCACCTCAGCCTCTCATCACCTGCATCACCTCAGCCTCACATGAGCTTCATCACCTTCATCACCTCAGCCTCACATGAGCTTCATCACCTTCATCACCTCAGCCTCACATCAGCTTCATCACCTTCATCACCTTCATCACCTCATCCTCACATCACCTTTATCACCTTCATCACATCAGCTTCATCACCTCATCCTCACATCACCTTCATCACCTTCATCACCTCAGCCTCTCATCACCTTCATCACCTTCATCACCTCAGCCTCTCATCACCTTCATCACCTCAGCCTCTCATCACCTACATCACCTCAGCCTCTCATCACCTTCATCACCTCATCCTCACATCACCTTCATCACCTCAGCCTCTCATCACCTCATCCTCACATCACCTTCATCACCTCAGCCTCACATCAGCTTCATCACCTGCATCACCTCAGCCTCACATGAGCTTCATCACCTTCATCACCTCAGCCTCACATCAGCTTCATCACCTTCATCACCTCAGCCTCTCATCACCTTCATCACCTCATCCTCACATCACCTTCATCACCTCATCCTCACATCACCTTCATCACCTTCATCACCTTCATCACCTCAGCCTCTCATCACCTTCATCACCTCAGCCTCACATCACCTTCATCACCTTCATCACCTCAGCCTCACATCAGCTTCATCACCTTCATCACCTCAGCCTCACATCACCTTAATCACCTCAGCCTCACATCAGCTTCATCACCTTCATCACCTCAGCCTCACATCAGCTTCATCACCTCAGCCTCACATCAGCTTCATCACCTTCATCACCTCATCCTCACATCACCTTCATCACCTCAGCCTCTCATCACCTCATCCTCACATTACCTTCATCACCTCAGCCTCACATCAGCTTCATCACCTGCATCACCTCAGCCTCACATCAGCTTCATCACCCCAGCCTCACATCAGCTTCATCACCTTCATCACCTCATCAACCCAGTGCTTAAAAGCCGGACGTTGCTTACCAAACAGCCTTTTCAAGCCAAAACCACCTCCTCCACCTCCTCCACCACCCCCACTTCCTCCAACACACTCTGTGTGTGTCTGTGTGTGTGTGTGACAGACATACATGTGTGTGTTTTTGTGTGTGTCTGTGTCAGACATACGCGCGTGTCTGTCTGTGTGTGTGTGTGTGTCAGAAATACGTGCGTGTCTGTGTGTGTGTGTCAGACATACGTGTGTGTCTGTCTGTGTGTGTGTGTGTGTGTGTGTGTGTGTGCGCGTGTGTGTCTGTGTCAGACATCCGTGTGTGTCTGTCTGTGTGTGTGTGCGTGTGTGTGTCTGACATACGTGTGTGTGTGTGTGTCTGTCTGTGTGTCTGTCTGTCTGTGTGTCTGTCTGTGTGTGTGTGGGTGTGTGCGTGTGTGTCAGACATACGTGTGTCTGCCTGTGTGTGTGTCAGACATATGTGTGTGTGTCTGTCTGTGTGTGTGTCAGACATACGTGTGTCTGTCTGTGTGTGTGTCAGACAAATGTGTGTGTGAGTGTGTGTGTGTCAGACATACGTGTGTCTGTCTGTGTGTGTGTGAGACATACGTGTGTGTGAGTGTGTGTGTGTGTGTGTCAGACATACGTGTGTCTGTCTGTGTGTGTGTGAGACATACGTGTGTGTGAGTGTGTGTGTGTCAGACATACGTGTGTCTGTCTGTGTGTGTGTGAGACATACGTGTGTGTGAGTGTGTGTGTGTGTGTCAGACATACGTGTGTCTGTCTGTGTGTGTGTCAGACATACGTGTGTGTGTGTGTGTCAGACATACGTGTGTCTGTCTGTGTGTGTGTCAGACATACGTGTGTGTGTGTGTGTCAGACATACGTGTGTCTGTCTGTGTCTGTGTCAGACATCCGTGTGTGTCTGTCTGTGTGTGTGTGTGCGTGTGTGTGTCTGACATACGTGTGTGTGTGTCTGTCTGTGTGTCTGTCTGTCTGTGTGTCTGTCTGTGTGTGTGTGGGTGTGTGCGTGTGTGTCAGACATACGTGTGTCTGTCTGTGTGTGTGTCAGACATACGTGTGTGTGTGTGTGTCAGACATACGTGTGTCTCTCTGTGTGTGTGTCAGACATACGTGTGTGTGTGTGTGTCAGACATACGTGTGTGTCTGCAGACCACTCCAGAGCCTGTACTGGTCCTGGCACCTGCATCATCCCAATGGGATCCATCTTCTCTCCCACACGGAAGAAGAACACACTGCAGTCGGAGCTCTGAGGAGGAAGAAGGACGAGGAGGAGGACGAGGACAAGAAGGGGGAGGACGAGGATGAGGAGGACGAGGAGGACGAGTAGGAGGATGAGGAGGACAAGGAGGAGGAGGAGGAGGAGGAGGACAAGGAGGAGGAGGACGATAAAGGACATGGTCAGCAGCAATACTCAGGCTGTGGCAACAATGCTCCATTGGTATTAAGGGACTCAAAGAGTGCCAAGAAAATATCCCCCACACCATGACACCCCTACAACATGACCCCCCCACACCATGACACCCCCACAACATGACCCCCCCACACCATGACACCCCCACACCATGACCCCCCCCACACCATGACACCCCCCACCACCATGACCCCCCCACACCATGACCCCCTTACACCATGACCCCCCCCACACCATGACCCCCCCTTACACCATGACACCCCCACATCATGACACCCCCCACACACTGACCCCCCCACACCATGACACCCCCCCACACCATGACCCCCTTACACCATGACACCCCCACAGCCCCCACATCATGACCCCCCACACACATGACCCCCCCACACCATGACACCCCCCACACCATGACACCCCCTTACACCATGACCCCCCCATGACACACCATGACCCCCACACCATGACACCCCACACCATGACCCCACCATGACACCCCCACACCATGACACCCCCACACCATGACACCCCCCTTACACCATGACACCCCCATGACCCCCACACCATGACACCCCCACACCATGACACCCCCTTACACCATGACACCCCCCCCACCCCCACACCATGACACCCCCAATACACCATGACACCCCCACACCATGACCCCCCCACACCATGACACCCCCCACCATGACCCCCCACACCATGACACCCCCCACACCATGACACCCCCACACCATGACACCCCCACACCATGACACCCCCACACCATGACACCCCCACACCATGACACCCCCACACCATGACACCCCCCCACACCATGACCCCCCCACACCATGACACCCCCCTACACCATGACCACCCCCACACCATGACCCCCTTACACCATGACACCCCCCACACCATGACACCCCCACACCATGACCCCTTACACCATGACCCCCCACACCATGACCCCCCCACACCATGACCCCCCACACCATGACCCCCCCCACACCATGACCCCCCACACACCATGACACCCCCACACCATGACACCCCCACACCATGACCCCCCCACACCATGACCCCCCCCCCACACCATGACACCCCCACACCATGACCCCCCCCCACACCATGACCCCCTTACACCATGACACCCCCCACACCATGACACCCCCACACCATGACCCCCCCCACACCATGACCCCCCCACACCATGACCCCCCCACACCATGACCCCCCCCACACCATGACCCCCCACACCATGACCCCCCCCACACCATGACCCCCCCCCACACCATGACCCCCCCACACCATGACACCCCCACACCATGACCCCCCCACACCATGCCCCCTACACCATGACCCCCCCCCACACCATGACCCCCCCACAACATGACCCCCTTACACCATGACACCCCACACCATGACCCCCCCCACACCATGACCCCCCCCCACACCATGACCCCCCCACATCATGACCCCCCCACACCATGACACCCCCACACCATGACCCCCCCCCACACCATGACACCCCCACACCATGACCCCCCCCCCACATCATGACCCCCCACACCATGACCCCCCCCCACATCATGACCCCCCACACCATGACCCCCCCACACCATGACGCACATATCAAAGTTTATTATTTAAGGTAATAGACAGTAAAGTTAAGATAAGAATAAAATAAAATGAGATAAACTCTGGGCTATAATTGCACTTGGTTCGGAAGTATTTACAGATGTCTATATTATACATTAGCAGCGGAGAATATCTGTCAATTTCATTCATCTGTAATTAAGTAAAGTCTTAAATCATGTGTAATTTGTAATACTGCAACTTCAGAATGTCACAGAACAATGTCACTTTACCTCATGTCTCTTTACCTCATGTCTCTTTACCTCATGTCTCTTTACCTAATGTCTCTTTACCTCATGTCTCTTTACCTCATGTCTCTTTACCTCATGTCTCTTTACCTCATGTCTCTTTACCTTATGTCTCTTTACCTCATGTCTCTTTACCTCATGTCTCTTTACCTCATGTCTCTTTACCTCATGTCTCTTTACCTCATGTCTCTTTACCTCATGTCTCTTTACCTCATGTCTCTTTACCTCATGTCTCTCATGTCTCTTTACCTCATGTCTCTTTACCTCATGTCTCTTTACCTCATGTCTCTTTACCTCATGTCTCTTTACCTCATGTCTCTTTACCTCATGTCTCTTTACCTCATGTCTCTTTACCTCATGTCTCTTTACCTCATGTCTCTTTACCTCATGTCTCTTTACCTCATGTCTCTTTACCTCATGTCTCTTTACCTCATGTCTCTTTACCTCATGTCTCTTTACCTCATGTCTCTTTACCTCATGTCTCTTTACCTCATGTCTCTCATGTCACTTTACCTCATGTCTCTTTACCTCATGTCTCTTTACCTCATGTCACTTTACCTCATGTCTCTTATGTCTCTTTACCCTCATGTCTCTTTACCTCATGTCTCTTTACCTCATGTCTCTTTACTATGTCTCTTACCTCATGTCTCTTTACCTCATGTCTCTTTACCTCATGTCTCTTTACCTCATGTCTCTTTACCTCATGTCTCTTTACCTCATGTCTCATGTCCTTTACCTCATGTCTCTTTACCTCATGTCTCTTTACCTCATGTCTCTTTACCTCATGTCTCTTTACCTCATGTCTCTTTACCTCATGTCTCTTTACCTCATGTCTCTTTACCTCATGTCTCTTTACCTCATGTCTCTTTACCTCATGTCTCTTTACCTCATGTCTCTTTTACCTCATGTCTCTTTACCTCATGTCTCTTTACCTCATGTCTCTTTACCTCATGTCTCTTTACCTCATGTCTCTTTACCTCATGTCTCTTTACCTCATGTCTCTTTACCTCATGTCTCTTTACCTCATGTCTCTTTACCTCATGTCTCTTTACCTCATGTCTCTTTACCTCATGTCACTTTACCTCATGTCTCTTTACCTCATGTCTCTTTACCTCATGTCTCTTTACCTCATGTCTCTTTACCTCATGTCACTTTACCTTATGTCTCTTTACCTCATGTCTCTTTACCTCATGTCTCTTTACCTCATGTCTCTTTACCTCATGTCTCTTTACCTCATGTCTCTTTACCTCATGTCTCTTTACCTCACTTTACCTCATGTCTCTTTACCTCATGTCTCTTTACCTCATGTCTCTTTACCTCATGTCTCTTTACCTCATGTCTCTTTACTCATGTCTCTTTACCTCATGTCTCTTTACCTCATGTCTCTTTACCTCATGTCTCTTTACCTCATGTCTCTTTACCTCATGTCTCTTTACCTCATGTCTCTTTACCTCATGTCTCTTTACCTCATGTCTCTTTACCTCATGTCTCTTTACCTCATGTCTCTTTACCTCATGTCTCTTTACCTCATGTCCTTTACCTCATGTCTCTTTACCTCATGTCTCTTTACCTCATGTCTCTTTACCTCATGTCTCTTTACCTCATGTCTCTTTACCTCATGTCTCTTTACCTCATGTCTCTTTACCTCATGTCTCTTTACCTCATGTCTCTTTACCTCATGTCACTTTACCTCATGTCTCTTTACCTCATGTCTCTTTACCTCATGTCTCTTTACCTCATGTCTCTTTACCTCATGTCTCTTTACCTCATGTCACTTTACCTCATGTCTCTTTACCTCATGTCTCTTTACCTCATGTCTCTTTACCTCATGTCTCTTTACCTCATGTCTCTTTACCTCATGTCTCTTTACCTCATGTCTCTTTACCTCATGTCTCTTTACCTCATGTCTCTTTACCTCATGTCTCTTTACCTCATGTCTCTTTACCTCATGTCTCTTTACCTCATGTCTCTTTACCTCATGTCACTTTACCTCATGTCTCTTTACCTCATGTCTCTTTACCTCATGTCTCTTTACCTCATGTCTCTTTACCTCATGTCTCTTTACCTCATGTCTCTTTACCTCATGTCTCTTTACCTCATGTCACTTTACCTCATGTCTCTTTACCTCATGTCTCTTTACCTCATGTCTCTTTACCTCATGTCTCTCATGTCACTTTACCTCATGTCTCTTTACCTCATGTCTCTTTACCTCATGTCTCTTTACCTCATGTCACTTTACCTCATGTCACTTTACCTCATGTCTCTTTACCTCATGTCTCTTTACCTCATGTCTCTTTACCTCATGTCTCTCATGTCACTTTACCTCATGTCTCTTTACCTCATGTCTCTTTACCTCATGTCTCTTTACCTCATGTCTCTTTACCTCATGTCTCTTTACCTCATGTCTCTTTACCTCATGTCTCTTTACCTCATGTCACTTTACCTCATGTCTCTTTACCTCATGTCTCTTTACCTCATGTCTCTTTACCTCATGTCTCTCATGTCACTTTACCTCATGTCTCTTTACCTCATGTCTCTTTACCTCATGTCTCTTTACCTCATGTCTCTTTACCTCATGTCTCTTTACCTCATGTCTCTTTACCTCATGTCTCTTTACCTCATGTCTCTTTACCTCATGTCTCTTTACCTCATGTCTCTTTACCTCATGTCTCTTTACCTCATGTCTCTTTACCTTATGTCACTTTACTTATCTACTTTTTATCCTGCACTATTTAACTGTACAGTATATAACTGCACTACTACATATATATATTTTGACTGGTATTGAAGCATTTTCAGCATCGACAGCTAGTTATGTAAGAAACATAGCTACTACTTATTTGTATATATTGTGTGTGCTCTTACTACTGTCCTATATGTGCGCTGCAACAACAAAATTTCCCCACTGTGGGACGAATAAAGGAATTCTTACCTTAATATGAGAATATGAATATGAGCAGAATAAACATCAGAAATAATATCAACAGGTAAAGTGACTTGAATGGGAGAATTATCAGATGGATATGAATAATACAGTCAAATATCAACAGGTAAAGTGACTAGTGACAAGTTACTAGTGAATTATCAGTGACACTTGTGCATACTCAGCAGTTCCTGTTACACATTCTCGTTGTACAGTCTGACAGCAGCAGGAAGGAAAGACCTACAGAACCTCTCCTTCACACAGCGAGGGTGAATTAGTCTGTCACTGAAGCTGCTCTCCAGAGCAGAGAGAGTGTCCTGCAGGGGGCGACAGTCATGGTCCAGCATAGATGTTAGTTTGCTCAGGACCCTCCTGTCCCCCACCTTCTGCACTGTGTCCAGGGAACAGCCCAGGACTGAGCTGGACTTCCTGATGTTCCAGCTTCTTCCTGTCCCTCTCTGTGATGCTGCTGTTCCAGCAGACCACACCGTACAAGAGGCTGATGCCACCACAGAGTCATAGAAGGTCCTTCAGGAGTGGCCCCTGCACTCCAAAAGACCTGAGCCTCCTCAGTAGGTAGAGGCGACTCTGGCCCTTCTTGAAGAGGGCGTCTGTGTTATGAGTCCAGTCCAGTTTGTGGTTCAGATGAACACCCAGGTACTTGTAAGAGTCCACTCTCTCAATGTCCTTTCCCTGGATGTTCACTGGAGCTGGAGCAGCAGAGTGACGTCTGCGGAAATCCACCACCATCTCCTTGGTCTTCCCCGCGTTGATGAGGAGGTGGTTCATCTCCTTGGTCTTCCTCACGTTGATGAGGAGGTGGTTCATCTCCTTGGTCTTCCCCGCGTTGATGAGGAGGTGGTTCATCTCCTTGGTCTTCCCCGCGTTGATGAGGAGGTGGTTCATCTCCTTGGTCTTCCCCGCGTTGATGAGGAGGTGGTTCATCTCCTTGGTCTTCCCCGCGTTGATGAGGAGGTGGTTCATCTCCTTGGTCTTCCCCGCGTTGATGAGGAGGTGGTTCATCTCCTTGGTCTTCCCCGCGTTGATGAGGAGGTGGTTCATCTCCTTGGTCTTCCTCACGTTGATGAGGAGGTGGTTCCGCTGACATCAGTCCACAAAGTCCTGTATAACTCCTCTGTGCTCTGTGTCATCGTCCTCGGAGCCGAGTCCGATGATGGCAGAGTCGTCAGAGAACTTCTGTAGAACACAACCGTCCGTGTTGTGTCTGAAGTCCGCAGTGTAGAGGGTGAAGAGGAACGGTGCGAGGACTGTCCCCTGGGGGGCCCACACACTGCAGGTCAGGACCTCAGACACGCAGTCCCTGGTTCTCACAAACTGGGGTTTGTCTCTGAGGTAGTCCAGGATCCACTGGGACAGGTCGTAGTCCACTCCAGCTGTCTCCATCTTGTCCCTGAGAAGCCTCGGCTGGATGGTGTTGAAGGCGCTGGAGAGGTCGAAGAACAGAATCCTCACAGCGGTGCCGGGTTTCTCCAGGTGGGACAGGGAGCGATGGAGGAGGGTGATGATGGCGTCCTCGACTCCGATGCCCGGCCTGTAGGCGAACTGCAGCGGGTCCATCGCTGGGCTCAGAGTGGAGCGGAGATGTCTCAGGACCAGTCTCTCCAGTGTCTTCATGCAGTGGTATGTTAGTATTAGATAGCAATATGGCCTACGTGCAGAACTGTACAAGGACTCTGATTATTTTGACTCTGATGTGACTGTCTCTGTGTGACACGTACGTCTTTCCATTTGTGACGTGACAATGACTATATAAACTGTGTACTGCCTTTATTCTGGCTGAGAGAAGGAAACAATGGAAACCAGTGGAACTTGAGAGAAACTTAAATAAACTTCCAGAGTTTGGCGCACCACGATCCGTCTCTGTCTGCTTCATCCCTGACAGGATGTTAGAGCCACCGGCCTGAAATTTCTGAGGTCTTTGGCCCGTGGTTTCTTGGGCACTGGTACCACACAGGAGGTCTTCCAGAGCTGTGGTACCGCCCTCAGGCAGAGGCTCATGTTGAAGACGTGCCCCATAACCCCGCACAGTTTGTCTGCACAGGAGCTGAGGAGCCTGGCGCTCACATGGTCTGGTCCCGCTGCCTTCCTGGTCTTGATTTTCTTCATCACACCTCTCACTTGAGCAGGTGTGAAAGAAAGGGGGGCTGGGGGGCTGGGTGAGTCTGTGTGTCTGATGGGAGGGGGGCCGTGGGGCACTGACAAAGGTGTGAACGACTGGGCTATTGTCCACTGCTGAGGCGGCTAGGGCATGCAGCTGAGCTGGGGGAGGGGTGGGTCTCTGATCAAACCGCAGGAAGAAGTGGTTTAAATCATTAACCCATTGGAGGTCCCCCACAGGCTGGACAGGGTGTGTTTTGAAGCCCGAGATGGTCTTCAAGCTCCTCCAAACCCCTGCCACATTCTGTTTGCTCAGCTGTTCCTCCATCCTGTTCTTATAGCGAGCCTTAGCAGTTCTGATGCTCATCCTCAGTCTCCGTTGTACCTCCTTCAGTGCCTGTCTGTCCTTAGATAGAAAGGCCCTCTTCTTCTCCTTCAGCAGGGCCTTAATCTCAGTGTTCATCCACGGCTTATTGTTGGAGAAGCATCATATCATCTTGTAAGGCACAGCGATTTCACAGCAGAAGTTGATGTAATCCGTTATGCATTCCGTGATGGCATTGATATCGTCCCCGTGGTCGCACAGTTCATCCCACAATGTGCAGTTAAAACAGTCCCTCAGCCTGTCTTCACACTCCACAGTATGTGTGTGACTGTATGTAACTTTTGTCCAGGACTCGCTTGAAAAAGAGGTTCTTAATCTCAATGGGACTTTCCTGGTTAAATAAAGGTGAAATAAAAAAAAAATTTTTTTTTTTTTACAAAAAGCTGTAGTTCAAAACATTTGAATTAGAATCTGTGTTAAAAGTGATTATTGATCATAGACTTCGTCTAAAAAGAAAGAGGGAATTAGGATTAGCTGTAAAAGTATTATATTATTAAGTTGAACTTTCACCCAATTCACATTGCAAGCGGTGACTTTTTTGTTTTGACTACACGTCCGACCTTGTTCCTCCTGCTGCTGCTGCCCAGAGACAGGAGCAGGCAGCTCTGACACAATTGAGTTTTATTTAAACCAAATCCAGTTTAGCTGGAGCTAAATCATATAATCTTTTGTTTTTATTTCATAAATTGTTTTAATGTTTTTCCAAATTCATTTTCATTTTTATAGAGATTTTTCATAATTTCATTTTATTTCATGGCGCCTTTCAAGAAACCCAAGGACGTATAGATAATTAAACACACAGTACAAAAGTATACACATTTTTAAAGTTTAAAAGGTTTTTTTGAGATTTGAGTCTTGTTTTTTGTTAAAAGAGTTTCTGGTCCTAAAAATGTCATCATTAGTAAGATAATAAGTCATCTTTATTTATATAGCGCATGTTGGAAAACCCAGAGCGCTCCAAAATTGTTTAGACTTTAGAGAGAAAAACAATCTCATTCACAAACTGATATCTGTTGTTTTGAATTTGACTATCAGGTTGTGTTCCAGGACCAAGGGCACACACTGTACAGGGTCACTGGACTGATTATGGATTGGACACTGAGGGCTCAGACCACAGGAGCCCAGCAACGCCCACCCAGGCACAGGTCACAGATCAAAGAGCAAAGGAAAATGCCACCTCCTTGCCCCTCCCCACGGGGGAACTGAGTGGGTGTAAGTGACCGGGGTAGTGAGAGGTGTCTGGAGGCGTGATGGGTGGAAAGCATCAGGGAGAGACCTGAATGCGAGTTGAGAGTGTGTCCAGTTGGTTTACATCACCACAGTGTGACCTTTGACACCTACAGGTGGTTCCAGGAGTCTGGAGACACAACCCCAAAATTCACACCCTACACACACACACACACACACACACACACACACACACACACACACACACACATATACACCTACACACAATCATACACTCACACATTCACATTTACATATAGATACATGAAAAAGCAGAACATGAGAAAAAAGAATTTTAAAAGTTTACTCCAATGTAAACTGGGGCTGGTGCTATGAGACTTGGGTGGCATCTCTGATTGCCACCCCCCTGACCCAGAAATGGATTAAAGGGTAGAAAATGGATGGAAAATGGATGGACTCCAATGTAAACATCCATCCATTCATCCATCCATCTTCTTCCGCTTCATCCGTTGCCGGGTCGCGGGGGCAGCAGTCTAAGCAGAGACGCCCAGACTTCCCTATCCACACACACTTCCTCCAGCTCATCTGGGGGGATCCCAAGGCGTTCCCAGGCCAGCTGAGAGACATAGTCCCTCCAGCGTGTCCTGGGTCTTCCCCGGGGCCTCCTCCCGGTGGGACGTGCCCGGAACACCTCCCCAGGGAGGCGTCCAGGAGGCATCCGGAACAGATGCCCACCTCAACTGGTTCCTCTCGACGTGGAGAAGCAGCGGTTCTACTCCGAGCTCCTCCCGTGTGACTGAGCTCCTCACCCTATCTCTAAGGGAGCAGCCACTCTGCGGAGGAAGCTCATTTCGACCGCTTGTATCCGCGATCTCGTTCTTTCGGTCATTACCCAAAGCTCATGACCATAGGTGAGGGAGGGAACAAAGATTGACCGGTAAATCGAGAGCTTTGACTTTCGGCTCAGCTCCCTCTTCACCACAACGGTCCGATACAGCTCTGACTGCAGACGCTGCTCCCTCTTTACCACAACGGTCCGATACAGCGACCGCATCACTGCGCACGCTGCACCGATCCGCCTGTCAATCTCACGCTCCATCCTTCCCTCACTCGTGAACAAGACCCCGAGATACTTGAACTCCTCCACTTGAGGAAGGACCTCTCCACCCACCTGCAGAGGGCAAGGCACCTTTTTACGGTCGAGCACCATGGCCTCAGATTTGGAGGTGCTGATTCTCATCCCAGCCTCTTCACACTCGGCTGCAAACCGTCCCAGTGCATGCTGCAGGTCCTGGTTCGTTGGAGCCAACAGGACAACATCGTCTGCAAACAGCAGAGATGAAATCTTGTGGTCTCCGAACCGGACCCCCTCCGACCCCTGGCTGCGCCTAGATATTCTGTCCATAAATACAGTGAACAGAACCGGTGACAAAGGGCAGCCTTGGCGGAGGCCAACATGCACCGGGAACAGGTCTGACTTACTGCCGGCAATGCGAACACAGCTCTGGCTCCGGTCATACAGGGATCGCATGGCCCTCAGCAGAGGACCTCCGACCCCGTACTCCCGGAGAACCCCCCAAAGGACACCCCGGGGAACACAGTCGAACGCCTTCTCCAAATCCACAAAGCACATGTGGACAGGTTGGGCGAACTCCCATGAACCCTCGAGTATCCGATGGAGAGTATAGAGCTGGTCCAGTGTTCCGCGACCGGGACGAAAACCAAACTGCTCCTCCTGAATCCGAGATTCGACCATCGGCCGTAGCCTCCTCTCCAGTACCTTGGAGTAGACCTTACCGGGGAGGCTGAGGAGTGTGATCCTACGATAATTGGAACACACCCTCCGATCCCCCTTCTTGTAGAGAGGGACCACCACCCCGGTCTGCCACTCCATTGGCACCGCCCCCGATCGCCACGCGATGTTGCAGAGACGTGTCAGCCAAGACAGTCCTACAAAATCCAGAGACTTTAGATAATCAGGGCGGATCTCATCCACACCCGGAGCCTTGCCACCATGGAGGCTACCAACCACCTTGGTGACCTCAGCCAGGGAGATGGATGTACCCGCCCCAACATCCTCAGCCTCTGAAACAGAGGACGTGACGGGGGGATTGAGGAGAACCTCAAAGTATTCCTTCCACCGCCCGACAATATCCCCAGTCGAGGTCAGCAGCTCTCCACCCGCACCGTACATGGTGTTGGCAAAGAACTGCTTCCCCCTCCTGAGGCGCCGGATGGTTTGCCAGAATCTCTTCGAGGCCGACCGATAGTCATGCTCCATGGACTCTCCGAACTCCTCCCAGTCCCGGGTTTTTGCCTCTGCAACAGCCCGGGCCGCGGCACGCTTGGCCTGCCGGTACTGGACAGCTGCCATCATGGCTCGATAGGACTCCTTCTTCAGCCTGACAGCATCCCTTACTGCCGGTGTCCACCACCGGGTTTGGGGGTTGCCGCCGGGACCAGCACCAGAGACCTTGCGACCACAGCTACGAGCCGCCGCATCGGCGATTGAGGCAGAGAACATGGTCCACTCGGACTCCATGTCAACCTCCTTCGCCGGGACCTGGGAGAAACTCTCCCGGAGGTGTGAGTTGAAAGTCCGTCTGACAGGGGCCTCAGCCAGCCGTTCCCAGCAGACCCTCACTATACGCTTGGGTCTGCCAGGTCTGACCGGCTTCTTCCCCTGCAGCGGATCCAACTCACGACCAGGTGATGATCGGTTGACAGCTCCGCCCCTCTCTTTACCCGAGTGTCCGAGACACGCGGTCGAAGGTCCGATGATACGACAACAAAGTCGATCATCGACCTCCGGCCTAGGGTGTCCTGGTGCCACGTGCACTGATGGACACCCTTGTGCTCGAACATGGTGTTCGTGATGGACAAACTGTGACTGGCACAGAAGTCCAACAACTGAACACCGCTCGGGTTCAGATCAGGGGGGCCGTTCTTCCCGATCACCCCTCTCCAAGTGTCACTGGCGCTTCCCACACTGGCGTTAAAGTCCCCCAGGAGAATAACGGAGTCCCCGGGCGGTGCACCGTCCAGTACCCCTCCCAAGGACTCCAAGAAGGCCGGGTACTCTGCACTGCTGTTAGGCCCGTAGGCCGTCACAACAATGAGAGACTTGTCCCCCACCCGGAGGCGGAGGGACGCGACCCTCTCATTCACCGGGGAGAACTCCAACACGTGGCGGCTGAGATGGGGGGCAATGAGAATGGCCACCCCAGCTCGCCGCCTCTCCCCGCAGGGAACTCCAGAAAAGTGGAGCGTCCAACCCCTCTCAAGGGGGGGTTGGACGCTCCATAATATTTGAATTGTAAAAGGACCATTTCCTTCAAAAGTAAATACAGTTAGTTACAGTTTTATTAGATACTTGCCAAATTCACTTGTGTTCAAACACCTGTGAATATTGACAATACAAAAAGTTTATGAGTGTAGCCTAGATTAATACCTAGATTAATGAGACAGATTAATGAGATAGATTACAACCAACAGAGATTCAAAAGCATTTAAAAGCATTTCGATGCATTTGGGTATAGCCCAAAAACAAAATAGTAGATATTTAGATATTGAGAAGTTTAAAAAGCTGTCGATTCGTCAGCACAGATTAGAGAATCAAACACCATTGTAGAATAACTGACCCCAACCCCAAACCTGCTAAAATAGATTAGCTCTTGTAAGGATAATACCAATTTGACTGCCTGATAGGAGGAAGTGACAGCACTTCCTGGTTCAACAAATGTATTTGGAAAACTGAGCGCCATAATAATGTTCATATTAACCATTTGTCTTTCTGTGTTCACAGTTTTATTCCTGAGAATGTAGAAAAGACATAGAGCAAACTCCCACTGACAATAAGCCACTGATAATGAAAGTAAACCACAGTATAGAGACATTTATTAGATTAAAATATATGTTTAAGAATATGGC